GTGGGAGGGGGGAACGGTTTCCGTTGGAAAAAGGGGTGAAGGAGGGGGGAGAGGAGGAAGGATCTCGCGAGGATCTCGCGTGGGAAGGAAGGGACACGACAGTCGTACAAATGTAACAATTTATTTTCATTACGACATAATTAGGAACGAGACCCGTGACTCGATGCCTTCTCCCTTGCGTTAACTCGCACACAGGCAACGCCCTTGGTCAAGTTTAAGGTTCGATCGATAGGGGATTGCCTGTCGTTTGGATTTTTCGTGCGTGGGATCGAGTTTAAAGCACGTGTTTGCAGTTTGGTAATAATATAATTTATCGGGGTCGTTCGGGAATTGATTAAATTTTACGGTTTGACAATTTATTTGTGTAGATTTTTACGCATTTTTATTAAAATAAATTTAATTAATTTAAATGTTGCGAGTTATGGAGGTTGTTATTATGAAGTGAGAATAAGATTAAAGACAAGGATAAAACTTAAAGGGTGAAATTTTTATCTAAATTATATTATATTCAGGATTTTTGTAAAAAATTTTATTCGCATGAATATTCGCGATCTCTGTTTATGCGTTCCACGAGTTGAAATATGGACGACGAACGCGAGTGTAGGGTTGGATTATTACTGTTTGTTTAGTTTAATGCGTATTTTAACAATAATAACTACGTCGAATTTTCATATCGTGGGATAAATTCCACAACGTTGTACAAATATACCGCGTCTATGAATTTTAATGAGTTTATAACCGGATGAGAGGGATGAAAGTGAAACTTCTTTGTTATTTCAAGCAATGTAACGATTTGAAATTTAGATGACAGATCCCCTAAAAGCAAAGGTTCAAATCACAAATCGTAACCAAAGTAAATTTTTATTAATTTCATTTCAATTTTGTTTCCTCGACAAAACCTCCTAAAATTTTCTTCTACTCTACGAAAAATATCGATAATTTCATCTCTTTGCAATTTTACTTTGATTATTGATTGAATTTTTAAACTTAAAATTAGAATTTCTCGATTTTTCTCAATTCAATCGCAAAGGATTGAACTCTTTCTCCTACATTCTAAAGAAAATTTTTTTAAATTTCCAGAGACCGTCTTCACCATTAAAATAAAAACTCGTTTCGTCAAAAACTCTTTTTTTTTTTCCAAGAAAATTTAAAAAAAATTTCGACGATCCAATAATTCCATCACTGTCTTCGTTATGTTAGAACGAAAAAAAAAAAAAAAACACGTGAAACAAAAGGGTTCCCTTAGGATTCGCCCACCGACCCGACCGAAAGGAGAAAGGAGAAGAAACGCTTTCCCCCTTTCGGATCGGAGATTGAAAAAAAAAAAAAAAAAGAAGAGAAGTGGAACGATATACAACGTTAGATGGAGGGAATACGTCTGTGGAGGGATTTTCGTGTGTCCCGGAAGCTCGTGTACGGATTCCAGCAGGGTTAGAGGGCGAGAAGCGCAACGAACTATGGATGAAAAGGGGGTTGAAAGGGGGAGGGAAAAGAGAAAGCCCACGGGGGCCGAATTTGCATCCGGCAAAGCAACCTCGGACTACTTTATTTGATTGGCTGCCCGCAGGCTTGCCTTCCACTCCCGCGCCAAAGTACATCCCCGTATTTCTCCTCCACTCTTTTATTCGCCTCCCTTCTTCACCTCATCGCCGTCTTTCTCCCTCCCCTTCTACACTGTTCTCTTTTTTTCTTTTTTATTATATCTTGTCTTCCTCTTTCCTTACATTCCTCTCTTCTTTGTTGTTTGTAATTAGTAGAATGGGGGCGTGTTTGCAATTTTATTTCGGGAATGGAATCAAATACTGGCCCCCCCTCCCCCATTTCTTTAAACCGTTGTTGATGGAAATTTGATTTTGCAGATTAATAGTTGGTTAGTATTTTTATGAAATATTAAATAAATTTTTATTTTCGTGTGTCATTTTTGAGATTCAGAGGATTTGAATAGGTAAATCAATTTTTTAAATTAATGTATTGTTTTATGTGTGTTATTATTATTTTACGAGATAAAAACAATTCCAAATTTTCGAATAATCGTATTTTAATTATTCGATATTATTCTTATAAATATAATAATAAATATAATAATATTATAATATTGTGTTAAAAAAATTTATTTTTTTTTATTTTTAAAATTTTTTTAAGCCTCCACTTATTTTCTAATTCTTTTCTATTTAATTACCAAATTCATTTATATTCTTCGATCAATTTTTAACACATTTTACATTACATACTTTACATTTTTTTCCACATCTCGATTTACGCTTACACAAACACACCAACTACGTCTTACAAAACTTTTTCAGAACCCGTATCCATCCTAATGATTCATGGAACCAGGTCGCGAACAAAAACTCTCCTGTAAGAAAATTTCTCGGAATCCACTTATAAATAATCCACCGGTAACAACAATTCATTCCATCTTCCCAAGGTATGTCCAAATACGATATGTTTATAATATTCTTACTCGAGTGCGTCATGCGTGTAACCTCGAGCCGTATTTACCTTTCGACTTCCGCAATTTCGGTTTCCAGGAATTTTCGACTCGCAACGATAACATTGTACAAAAACAATTTCTAACTTTCGATAATAATACTGTTATCGAGGATATGGTTTCAGTCGTACATTGGCTTCGAACGTGAAAAGATCTCGCGAAAATAAAATATAACTTTAAAGCGTACGTTTTGTAACGTAATTATTTTTATAATTTTAAGAGTACGAATCGAAAGTGGAATTCTCTCGTCGAATCGAGAGATACTTTTTTTAAGACTAAAAATCGATTTCTCAATTTCTCAAATTTCTCTTCTTACTCTTCACTTCGCGAAAAGTATTATCCGCTAGTTTCACTCTCAATATTGTATATATAAAATTATAATTTAGAATTATAATGGATAGAAATCGAGAATATTTTTCGCGAGAAGAAATTACTAATCAAAAGTACGATTCCTACCTTAAAATCGAGAACTTTTGCGAGTTGCTCTCTCTCTTTCTCTCTCTGAGAGATGTTTGCTGCGAAAAAATATTATTCAGAGTAACTTAACTTAGAATTTTACTTTCAAATATATTCGTACTCCGACCGTCGAAAGATTACCAAGAGGACCATTCAACGATGGGCCGGAACCATCCATCAGAGGTCCGATAGAGCATCAAGGATGCTGGATGTGGTGGAGCGAAGATACCAGGGAACGAGGTAAGCTTTTGCTTCTTTTTAATGACTTTGTGTCGTCGTGCAATCGTGCCGATCGATTTTTTCCCGCCTGTCTGTCGCCGAGAATCGACGTCGGAATAATCATCCGGTTTAATAAAAACGGCTTATCCGTGAAACAATGGACTGTCGCTTGCAGGACGGGGTATCGTCATGGAGGCCGGTGCTAAACCACTCGTGTTCCATGTACTTTGTTCCACTTCATATTAAGCGATTTTCACTTTGTGTTACAGGACTTGATCCCCTGCCTCTTTTAGAACTTCAGTTTCATTTTAGAAGTAGCTCCATCGTAAGTTGTAGGCCACTTGTGCTAATTTTAAACGTGATTTGTGAGAATTAAAAGTATCGTGATAACAATTGTGAAAATGTTATTACAAATGTTATTAATATGTGGTTAAAGTTAATTTATTAATTGGTTCTTTTTATTTTTATTGTATAAAGTTTATCTAGGATTTTTTTCGATTCTTTTTTTTCTAACGATTTTTGGGAAGAATGTATTTTTTTTTCTTTTATTAATTTTTATATTATTTTCCTTTTTTCTTTTTGTCGTCAATATTTAAATAATTAAATATCTTTGGTGGTTTTCTTTTCTTTCTATTTATCATATTATACCTATTATCATAATAACATCAGTTTTTGGAATAGATATTCCTTCCTTTGTTAACTCGTTATTCGAAAATTCGACGTTTTACACGTATGGAAAGTTGGTTGTTCCATCTCGAAGCGGATTTAAACGAGCCGTTTTCACGCTTTAAGCCGCGCACGAACGTATTATTGTAGGATATTTCATTAATTAGCTAGGATATTTCATTAATTAGCTAATGGCTAACATGATTCTCATACGCTTTGATGCATTATTATAATGCAACAAAGTAATAAGTGAGACGGTACGTTCCGACTCGTTTTCTATCCTACGTTATTAGAATTCGAAAGATTCGGTATAATACCATCAACGATATTATATAACGATCGCGGTGCGATATCTCGCGAATTTTTATTCTCCGCCGTTTCGAAGTTTCGCTGTGAAATTGAAAAAAAAAAAAAAAAAAAAAGAAAAAAAGAAAAGGAAAGGAAAGAAAAAAAAGTATAAATTGTAGATGTATATTTCGAAACTCGCGAAACTTTCTACCACCGCGCTATCTAGATGCTTTATGCAAATTTAAATTCTTATTAACACAGAACTAGAAGAAATAATTCACTTTGGTTTTAATATCTCGTCTTTTTTGCATCGTTTCGCGCGCATTTCCGTTAGAATTTTCGCAATTTTAGAATTTGAAAAATTTAGTTAATATCATCGACATAATATTGCAATTAACGTTGAAAATATTTTTCAAAAAAACTTTTTGTTTCATGGTTTTGGCAAATTAAAAAAGAAACATACATGTATATATATATGTACATATAAATATATATATATATATGTATAACTCAGACACATATTTCGTCTCGTTTCCATCCTTGCTATTATTAACATTTGAAAAATTTATTTAATCAACAATATATTATTTCACGATGCAACTCGTTTCTCAAAAAATTTCTGTTCCACGGTGAAGTTTTGATAAACTAAGTCGGATGCATATTTCGTTTCAGACGGGGGGATACGGTTTTTTCTACCCTGTGTTTGTGTTCATTAGAGTTTGAAAAATTTTCACGAAAGTTGAAGTTTTTTTTCTTTTTTTTTTCTTTTTGGATAAACCAAAAAAAAGGTGCATAACAAAGGTGCATAAAAAACGAAAACGTGTATTTCGACTCGCGAAAGTTTCTACCCTCTATTTATTAAAATTTTAAAAAATTCTATTCTTCGCAAAGAAAAATTTTTTTTAAACTGGATTTTATTCGTATTCGCCTTTTCCTTCCACGGCGTATATATATATATATATATATACTTAGTTACGTATGCCACGTCACGGATACGGGGTTACCCACAGAACTTAATGGTTTCCCGATAATAATAGTTCTCGAGTCACTGTAGCTTTAGTATCTCGGACTTTAGCCCTTTCTCCAAGGAACCACCCGCATTTTGACCTGTACTACTACCAAGTTTCGGTTGTCTAACGCAGGGGATGAAATTACAATTGGCTGGAAATGTCCCTTGTCTTTGACTCTTTGCTTAGGATATTCTCGACGCTCTTGCAAATATATATTTTTTTTATTTTTTTTTTTTTAAAGAGATTCATCGATTAATTTTCTTTTATATTTGTCGGATAGGAATTAATCGTACGTATATTTATATATTTATATTTTTATCGTCGTAAAAGTAATTATTTTTTTATTATTTTAATCGATGCATTTCAATCGCGAGTATCTTTTATTGTATCTTTTATTTGATTAATCAGTTAAAGGAATTCGAGGCGGGGAAAGTATTTGAGAAAATAATAATTAATTTTTTAAAATTTGCTCGCGAACAACAAATAATTAGATCAGGAATAATAATAATATAATAATAATTTATTTTCATCGAAATCGAGTAAAATAATTTATCTCGCTATTAACGTAAAAATTAATTTAATTACAGATAAATTTATCTTATTTTCGTACGAAATATTTAATTATTATAGTTTAATTTGTAGAAAAATAAATTTGGCAAATTTCTTAAAACGTTCAGATCCGTGATAAAGAAGGGGGGGAGGGAATAAAGACGATAATTTATTCAAAATTATTTATAGATTTGTTTCGAGTAAGTTTGTTCCTCCTCCTGTAAAACCCAAGTTGATCAGTTTCGACCTGTTAAATCGGCGACAGAGTTCTCTCCCGATAGTATAATAGATAATTATCGCGAAGAGCTGGAGTCACCGAGGCTGTTGAATCGAGACGATACTGTTTTCCACGATCCATCTTTATTCGAAACTAAGTAGAAATACGACCTAGCTTAAACCCTACATGACGAAGGGTGAATCGAGACTCCATAGGCGTAACCTCTTCAACGATCCTTTAACGAATTCGTGTTCAATCCGCGTAATAGATTTCCATCTATTGATACGTTTTTTAAAATAATATTACTTATTGTTATTCCTGATCTGATATTATATACGCTTATTACAATATTATTTGTTATTCACGAGCAAAATATTAGAAAATCAATTATTATTATTATTTTCCCAAATATTTTCCTCTCCTCGAATTCCTTTAATTAATTAAATAAAAGATACAATCTCGCGTCAATCGTGTATCGAAAAAAATATTTAAATCGAAAATCCATCGAAAATTTAATTTCTTAGTTACTATTATAATGTCATAAGTAATATAAACAGAATATTACTCATTGTAATTTAAAAATCGAATCAATTTTCGAACAAAGCTAAATTTAAATAAAAAATTCGAAATGAAAGATACGAGAAACAAAATTTCACTTCTGGTTTACATTTCGATACGAATCGAACTCTCACGCGTTGCATTCCATATACAAGGTGAGATTATCGATAAAATCGTACGCGTATCGGATAAACGGAGGATGGATAGGCGAGTTTTGAACGAGGGAAATGGAAGGAAATCTCTATGCTCGATTCGTTACGCCTATGAAGGTAAGGGTTTTCCCCTTGATTTCCACTCGAGGTTGCCAACTTCGTACCCCATATCCTAGGTTCCACTTGATCGAATTAATCCATTCCCAATCTAATCAAATCGCGTGAATGTCTAATTTCACACACGATCCGTTTTCGTCGCTTCGCACGTTCTACCGATACGTACAAGTATCGAACCGGTTGATTCACATATTCGCGTTAATAGGGCCCAATTACTTGGGACCATCCCTCCTAACAATTGACCACATCGAATACACATCGTTCCATCATTTTACGAAAATATTCCAAGACGACCGAAATTTTAAACGATCGAGATACTGTATTTGATCTTTCCATGAATTGAACGATATTCAAGTTGAAGTATCATTTGAAGTAGTTGCGTAGATTTAATCTCAAGGATATATATAAATTTCCGCAAACACTATACCGTCATTAATTGTTCCAATTCAAGTCACATCATCCACATTTTAATCGCACAACATTCTACGCGAAAAATTAATCCGTTAATATTTTATTTTTCATTTTTCTTTTTTTATTTCATCTTCATTCACTCTTTTGAGTTATCATAGGATGTATAATGTTCATTAACATTTCACTTTCCATTTCTTTTTCTTTTCTTCATTCCACTTCATTCATTCTTTCGAGTTATGTACAACTTTATATAACAATATATGTACAACTTTCACTTTCCATTTCTTTTTCTTTTTTTCATTCCACTTCATTTACTCTCTCGAGTTATCGAGTCATCTCGAGTTAAGATGTATAATGTTAATTAATATTTCATTTCTTTTTTTTATTTTCTCTTCATTCACTCTTTTGAGTTATCGTAGGATGTACAATGTTCATTAACATTTCCATTCCTTTTTTCTTTTTTTTTTCACTTCATTCACTCTCTCTAGTTATCATAGGATGTATAATGTTCATTAATATTTCACTTCTCATTTGTTTTTTCTTTTTTTTTTTATTTCATTCACTCTCTTAAGTTATCATAGGATGTACAATGTTCATTAACATTTCACTTTCCATTCCTTTTTTCTTTTTTTTCACTTCATTCACTCTTTTGAGTTATCATGTATAATGTTATATATGATGTATAATGTTATTATGCTATTAATATTTCACTTTCCATTCCTTTTTTCTTTTTTTCATTCATTCTTTCGAGTTATCATAGGATATATAATGTTCATTAATATTTCACTTTCCATTTCTTTTTTTCTTTTTTTCCATTTCATTCACTCTTTCGAGTTATCATAGGATGTATAATGTTCATTAACATTTCATTTTCCATTCCTTTTTTCTTTTTTTCTACTTCGTTCACTCTCTCCAGATATTATAGGATGTATAATTTTCATTAACATTTCATTTTCCATTTCTTTTTTTTATTTTCTCTTCATTCACTCTCTCGAATTATCATAGCATGTATAATATTCATTAATATTTCACTTTTCATTTCTTTTTTTTATT